CAGCCTGGTCATTTTGATGCACTGAGCCTGAGGGACCACTAGCTGCCTTCGTTCATCTCCTGGACCTTCATTCTTTATGGGTTGATACAGCAGATCTCCAAGCATTTCCAGTCAGGGCTGAGCCTGATTGAACTTAAGTTATATTCGGAACCATAGTGTTGGGTTGTTGTAGGTTTTTCGGGCTATATGACGATGTTCTAGAAGCATTCTCTCCTGATGTTTCACCTGCATCTATGGCAAACATCTTCATAGGTTGTGAGGTCCTCAGTGATTCCAGCCATTAAAGCCTTTGACAATCATAGTGTTATAAGCTACTAACGGAGGTCTGGTTACATCACCTGGAATTCTTGTTGTTTATTTGTTCAGTCGTTTCCAACTCTTTGTGACCTCCTGGACTATCCCACGCCAGAGCTCCCTGTCAGCCGTCACCACCCACAGCTCCTTCAAGGTCAAGTCAGCCACCTTGCCTTTGGTTGGCCCCTCTTCCTTTTTCCTCCCATTTCCCCCAGCATCCTTGTCTTCTCTGAGCTTTCCTGCCTTCTCATGATGTGGCCAAAGTACGTCAGCTTTGCCTCTAATCTCCTTCGGGCTTTATTTCCTGGAGGATGGACTGGTTGGATCTTCTCGCGGTCCAAGGCACTCTCAGGATTTTCCTCCAGCGCCACAGTTCCCAAGCGTTTCTCTTCCTTTGCTCAGCCTTCCTTCTGGTCCAGCTCTCACCTTCATGGATCACTATGGGGAATACCATTGTTTTAACTGGAATACCAGAATACTGTGTCCAATTCTGGGCACCACCATTGCCGATGTTGTCCTTTATGAATATGATTATGATTACTATTATTTAAGGAACCCCCACTCACATAAAGGCTTTAGTCTTCTTCCAAAAGTACTGGGCAACAAATCAAATCAAAAATAATAAATAAAGACAACATCAATATAAGCTTATAGTGACAACACAAAAAATAACCAAAATTAAAAATGTAAATCTATATAAATAAAAATGTAATGTTTGTTTGTGGGATCAACATAACTCAAAAACCACTGGACGAATTGACACAAAATTTGAACACAATACACCTAACAGTCCAACGAGTGTCCATCACCCATAAACACACATACACACAAAAAACACCAGTGGTACAGACTTAAAAATCCAAAAAATACAACATATGTACATATACAATTAACACTCATACATATGCACATGCACACATTCACACACACACATATGCACAAACACACACAAATATACCCATATATACACATATACATACACACATATATACATATACACATGCACATATACATGCACACATACATATATACATGCACACACATATACATATCCACATACATACATATATACACACAAATATGCATATAGACAAGCACACACTGTTGTAACGTTGCAAGCAGTAGTATGGGTGCCAGAAGGGGAAAAAGGGGTACTTGTGAGCAGGAGTCAGTCAGATGAGGAACAACAAAGGAAAAGGATCCGGAATATACTTATGGCACCTACCGATGAAGACTCATTTGAGGGGTTCTCTGGAGATGAAGGGTCAATGAGTGAGGGAGATGAAGGAGATACAATGGATGGGAATAGGGGAACAAAGAGGGTTACTCGGGAGCAAGAATTGAGTGAGGAGCGACAGAGGAAGAGGATCCAGGATATACTTGCTGCTCCCACAGATGAAGAATCATTTATGGGTTTCTCTGGGAGTGATGGCTCAGGGAGTGATGAAGATGGGGATGACACATTGGATTGGTCTAAGGTAAAAGAGGTACAAACTGTATGTGCAGAGCCGACGTCTAGTGATACATTTGTAGGGTTCTCTGGTAATAAGGATTGGCAATCGGGGAATACATTTGAATCTTGGGGGGATCTAAGTCTTGACAGAAGATGGAGGAGTTGGAGAGATGGGAGTAGGACTTCATGTGTGGAATCAAGAACAGCTGCAAGGGATAATGACGGGGCGGAGGTCAGCTCGTCTTCTGATTATGATGTGTAAGATAAAAGTAGACCCTGAAATGGGGAATCTTTGCAGAAGGCAAGGTATTGGTTTATGTTCGTGCATTGGGTACTTGTCACTGCCTGTTTCGTGTTGGCATTGGGTCCTGGGTCTACAGGTTTCTACTTCTGTTCGTATGTGTTTTCGACTCGGCTTGGATTCTCGTGTGGATTTCCCCCTTCCTTGACTTCGGACCAGTTTGACTATGACGCTACCTACGTGGACTTTGGAACTTCGCTACTTTGGATTTGGCTTGCTACGACCTCGGACTTCTCTTGACTACACTTTCTTCCCTGCGGCTCCTTTGTTTGGTTAACCGTTTACATGCTGTGCTATTTTGTGTGACTTTCAGAGCATTTTGTTTAATCTGGTTCTTTTCTTCGGATAATCCGGGTAATTGTTTTTGTTATCTTTTTGAACCAGGACTGGTTTTCACCTTTGAGTTTGATCAGAGACACTGAGTTAAGTGTCTCTGAGTCTTTTTCCTTTGTTTAATAAACTCTATTTTGGAACTAACTCTGAGTCTAGCCCTTTAAGGTGTCTGTGTCCCAACACACACATATACACAATCTGCATGTACACATATAAATACACAAATATATACACACACATATACACACACATATATATGCAAACACATATACACAAATATATACACACACATATATATACACACAAAACATATACAGAGACTGGACCACAGCAATGCGTGGCAGGGGATGGCTAGTAATAATATAACAGGGTTGTTGTAGGTTTTATGGGTTATATGGCCATGTTCTAGAAGCATTCTAGAACATGGCCATACAGCCCGAAAAACTTACAACAACCCAGTGATTTCAGCCATTAAAGCCTTTGACAATAATATAACACTTCAAAACCACCCTGAGTCCCCTCGAGGAAACAGGGCAGGTTAGAAATAAAGTTATGATTATGATTATGTAAGGATCCCCCACTCACATAAAGGCTTTTGTCTTCCTCAAAAAGTACTGGGCATCAGCCCCACAATCACAGGTCTGATCTGTTCTGAAAGGAAAAGATTGGATTAAAGGGCAGCCCAGACTGTTCCGTACCCCTTGCCCACATCCTGGAGATGTCCATCTTCTTCTTCTTCTTGAAGGTAAGCATTTAAAAGGACACCGGAGGACAAAGTGTCCTAAACACATTCTCTTTTTCACCGTTCACTTGGTGAAGCTACAACTTATCTGTGTTATTCAAATCTGTGACTGCAGACATGTGTAAAGCAGAGCTGGGAAAAATGGTACTTCCCTCCTTCCCTCCCTTCCACCAATACAATCACCTGCTACTCACCCAGAGGCTCAAGGGGTAAGCAGACACCAATTGGAAGAGGAACGGAGCGTGTGACTCGACATTGTACTGCTGGACCACAAGCTTCTGGACCTAAGGAAGCTCTTCCTGTAGAAGGGGGCTGAGATGGTTCCAACGAGCAGGAGGGACACCCAGCATCTCGCCATCCTGAGCTCTCCAGATCCACCAGGACTTGTCAGGAGGTGGTGGCCACAGCTCCTTCCTTCATATCCCACTTGCCGTTCCTTTATTTACCAGAAGAAAGGAGTCTTGGAGGGCCTGCCAGTTTCTAAAACCTTCATGAAGTCTGGACATAGCATATTATTGGAGAGCACAGAAAGGCTGGATCACTCTCACCACCACCATGTCAGGCTCCACAGAGAAGCCGTTGAAATCAACAAGAAGCATGTGGACAATTTCAACAGAAAGGAAGAAATCACGAAAATGAACAAAATCTGGCTACCAGTATTAAAAAAACCTCTAAAATTATAGCAGCAAATAAATAACAACACTCAAACACAGGGGAACTCCTGACAAGAAACAAACAGGAACCGTTCATCACCTCTCAACAAAGGATTCCCCCCAGGCAGTAAGAAGCCACATCTTAAAAACTGCTAGGCCATTCAATGCTAATCAAGGTGGAAAATTACTACATTCACACCTCGCTCCATAGAATCATAGAATCATAGAATCAAAGAGTTGGAAGAGACCTCCTGGGCCTTCATCCAGTCCAACCCCATTCTGCCAAGAAGCAGGAATATTGCATTCAAATCACCCCTGACAGATGGCCACCCAGCCTCTGCTTAAAAGCTTCCAAAGAAGGAGCCTCCACCACACTCTGGGGCAGAGAGTTCCACTGCTGAACGGCTCTCACAGTCAGGAAGTTCTTCCTAATGTTCACATGGAATCTCCTCTCTTGTAGTTTGAAGCCATTGTTCCATTGCGTCCTAGTCTCCAAGGAAGCAGAAAACAAGCTTGCTCCCTCCTCCCTGTGGCTTCCTCTCACATATTTATACATGGCTATCATATCTCCTCTCAGCCTTCTCTTCTTCAGGCTAAACATGCCCAGTTCCCTAAGCCGCTCCTCATAGGGCTTGAACAGACAAGAGTTCTTTCTTCCACCCTGGACACCATTCCACAGGTATATAAACCCCAATTTCCTAGTTTCCAATGGACCTCACAACCTCTGAGGAAGCCTGCCATAAATGTGGGTGAAACATCCGGAGAGAATATTTCTAGAACATGGCCATACACCCCTGAAAACTCACAACCACCTACATGATGTCTGTTTTTATCCCTCTTTCAAAACAGTTTAGAAACAAGGGTGAGGACAGGACACTCAGGAAAGATGAAGCCAACAGGGAAACACTTGCATTAAAGGGCAGACCGGACTGTTCTGGACACCCTGCCAACATCCTGGAGATGCCTATCTTTTGGATGAAAGGAACCAAAAAAAGACACAAGAGGCCAATGTGTCCAGACCTCTCCCTTCTTCCTGGGCCCTTTGGCCAGGTAGTCAAGAGGGACACCATATATATATATTTTTAAAAACGTGCCAGCTGCCCTTCCCCTCTGCCCAAGGCTCCTTTCTTCTGGATAGGAAGGGATGCCTCGGAAGGGCAAGTGGGGTATAAAAGGAGTCGTCGCACTAGCCAGGGCTCCAGACGTCGCAAGGCAGAGCTCAGGATGATGAGATGCTGGGTGTCCCTCCTGCTCCTTGGGTCGGTCTCGGCCAACGTCTTCCTCCGGGACACCCCTCCTCTGAGCTACAGCAAGGCCCAAGCTGCCGTGGTCAAGCAGTACAACACCGAGGCCACCCCCCAGAACCTTTACCGCCTGGTGAGCGCAGACCCCATGCCCAAATGGGTGAGTTTTTCCATGCCAGGATTGATGGGGTCCTTCAAACATTTCTAAACCTGTTGCACATGAGGATCTCAGGGTGGCCGATTGCCCCATCTGCACTGACTGTATCATCCGATTTCAAGGCAGCAGGAAACTGTGGTGGCCACAAAACACATGATGCCAATGTGTGCTGCAGCGACTTTCTAGGGGATGTAGTGTTGCATCAAATAGGAGAAATAATATCAAAAGAGATCCTTTCCGGAGATAGAAAAGTACGGCTTTATTTCCAGCTGGGAACCTGGAGTGGAGCTGTGTCCAAAAGCAACCAGAGTGCCCAATAAAGGCGTTGACTGCCTTTTATACACTTCAAATGCAGGCAAACAAAGAAACATGCTTCTACGTACATTGACATCATTCACTGCATCACTTTAGCATCATAGGAATATCAAAGTCTATATTCCAACATACAAAAGGCATGTCTCTGTATTTCTCTCTAAAGAGCAGCATGCACCTTACAGCTTACATTCATCAATCAAGGGGCCTACTTTGACTTGTCAGGAGGGAGGGGGATTGGCTCCTTACTTTTTACTTATCTCTGTTGCAACAACCCCGTGGTTCCAGCCATGAAAGCCTTTGACAATATATTGTTGTTGTTGTTGTTGTTGTTGTTATTATTATTATTATTATTATTATTATTATTATTATTATTTGAAACACAACAAGATGAGTCCACAGCAGACACTCTGCTGGCTGTTGTAGTGGATTCCACGTCGGACCTTCCCAAGTGTCTAAGGACTGTGTGATGTATCGGCGAACGATGCGTGCAGATCCAGTAAGGTGGCCTTTTGCAACTGGCAGATGGTAATCTTGTCAGCGTCGATTGTGTTTAAGTGAAGGCCAAGGTCTTTAGGCACTGTACCCAGTGTGCCTATCACCACTGGGAACACCTTGACTGGTTTGTGCCAGAGTCTTTGCAGTTTGATCTTTAAATCCTCATATCGTGTCAGCTTTTCCAGTTGTTTCTCTGCAATCCTGCTGTCACCTGGGATTGCAACATCGACAATCCATACTTTGTTTTTTAACCCGATTGTGAGGTCGTGAGGTCTGTCTGAATCCGGAAGTCCCAGAGGAGTTTGGCGTGTTCATTCTCTGTAACTCTTTCCAGCTTGTAATCCCACCAGTTCTTTGTCTCAGGCAGATGGTATTTGTGGCACAAGTTCCAATGAATCACCTGAGCAACGGTGTTGTGCCTCTGCTTGTAGTCTGTCTGCGCGATCTTCTTGCAGCAGCTGAGGGTGTGATCTATTGTTTCATCTGCTTCCTTGAAGAGTCTACATTTGGAATCTGTATTATTATTATTATTATTATTATTATTATTATTATTATTATTGGGAGCCCCCGGTGGCGCAGTGGGTTAAAGCACTGAGCTGCTGAGCTTGTTGATCGAAAGGTCGCAGGTTCAATTCCGGGGAGCGGCGTGAGCTTCCGCTGCCAACCTAGCTTCTGCCAACCTAGCAGTTCGAAAACATGCAAATATGAGTAGATCAATAGGTACCGCTCTGGCGGGAAGGTATCGGCGCTCCATGCTGTCATGCCGGCCACATGACCTTGGAGGTGTCTACGGACAAAGCTGGCTCTTCGGCTTAGAAATGGAGATGAGCACCACACCCCAGAGTCAGGCATGACTGGACTTAATATCAGGGGACTACCTTTACCTTATTATTATTATTATTATTATTATTATTATTATTATTATTATTATTATTATTATATCTGACCCAGCTAAAAGCAAGGCGAAATTTTGGAATATTTAGATTTTGCAGATATTTAGCACCTCCCAGAGAGTTGAAGGCTAGGCCTAAACTAAGCAGGGAGCGTGTGGAGCGTGCCAGCATCATTGAGGTCTGTTTGTCTAAATCCCTATTTCGATCCACTATGATGTTCATTGTCTTTTCATGCCCAAACCCTCTCAATATGTTCTCTGAAAGCCTCGCCCGAAATTCTAAATTCTATGATTCTATGATGCCTGTCTCCACAGAATCCCACCTCTTCAGACTTCCAGTCCTTTCCACTCAAGATCAAGGAGACAGTGTGCCACGGAGACCCTGAGAAGATCAAGGTGGACAAGTGCGCCTTCAAGCCCAACGGGGTAAGAAGCGGCACCAGCAGCAACAGCTCCCGCTCCCTCCCTCCCTGTGCCCCTCCACTGCCTTCACCGGACCCTAGAGAGACCCCCGCCACCCTCCCTCTTTTCCACCCACTCCTTTTCCTCTTCCCACTTCTTTTCCCGAGCATCATGGCATCAAAGGGTCCCTCTATGTCTTTGGCCACCTCTGGCCGCTTCCTGCTGTTCTTGGCCCTGACCTTGGCCCTCCTCCTCAGTGGGACCGGCTCTGCCCAGGATTTGGGCTTTGAAGACGGAGCCGTGAAGATGTCTCCTGTAGGAAGAGATCACAGGGCCACACAGAGTCTCATGGACTTCAACTTGTCCGATGCCCTGGATGAGCGCAATGACCGGGAGGAAGTCTCCCTGCCGAAGGTGAACCCGGGCGGTGGAGGCTCCAAAGGCGGAGGAGAAGAATGGACTCACATGTCGGACGCGGACCTGGCTGCCATACTGCAGGACGGCGTTCACCAACAGGACAGGAAGAAGGCATTGTCCGGCCGGCAGCCGCTCCCATAACATTCTAGAACAACAAAAATTGGAAAAAAAAATCTGTTCCTGGTTTGAAAGCGTTATTTCTTGTTTAATTGCGCGGCCCTTCCTTTGAAAGTAGTTGTTAGACTCCACAAACTTCATTTTTGTGGCTTCCACAAAGGGGAAATCGTCTGTTTCATTTCAACGCGGAGTGAGACTGAGCTCTACTCTGCCAAACACTTCCCTGCTTCAGTGTGATGAAGTAACAAGTTGAATTTCTTGAGTTTCGATTACGAGACATTCATTCAAAAGCTAGAGCAAAATGTGCTGCAGGATGTCCATCCCATAAAAACAAAGTTTTTGCAGGTTCATAAATGTTTTTATGATAGAACTAATTACGAAATGACATTTATAACCCAGGAACAAAAGACATGTTACTGTGGCGGGATTGGGATGCCGTGCACGGATCTAGTTCTGTGCTCCTGTGCAACTCTGCTTGCAGTTCCCTTCCTCAACGTTTGAAGGGATTGGGTTGTTGTAGTTAGGGTTCAAAAATATTAAGGCCTACAACGACTAACTTATTAAAAGTTGCTGAACTTCTGAACTGTGACAAATGATTAACTGTTGACATTGCAGAATTGATGAGCTTTTTGGGAAAACAACGTGTTTACATCTATGTATTGTTGAAGGCTTTCATGGCCGGAATTGCTGGGTTGTTGTAGTAGCTTTTTCAGGCTGTATGGCCATGTTCCTGAAGCATTCTCTCCTGACGTTTCATCCACATCTATGGCAGGCATCCTCAGAGGTTGTGAGGTCTATGTATTGTCGAAGGCTTTCATGGCCAGAATCACTGGGTTGTTGTAGGTTTCTTTGGGCTATATGGCCATGTTCTAGAGGCATTCTCTCCTGGCGTTTCGCCTGCCATAGATGCAGCCAAAACGTCAGGAGATAATGCCTCTAGAACATGGCCATATAGCCTGAAAAAACCTACAACAACCCATTGTGAGGTTTGTTGGAAACTAGGAAAATGGGATTTATATATCTGTAGAAAGCCCAGGTTGGTTCCTCGGGTGCTCTGCTATGACTGACGTCTCTGGTTGAATGAGTCTGCAGTGCTTTGTTCCTTGATTTGTGTTTGGTGGTCCCTCTGTAGACTTCTTGTCCACCGCAGCATGGTATACGATAGACTCCTGCAGAGGTGAGAGGATCCCTCTTGTCCTTTGCTGAATAGAGCATTTGTTCATACCATATTATTTGAGAGCACAGAAATGCTGGACCACTCTAACAACTACCATGTCAGGCTACACACAGAAGCCATTGAAATCCACAAGAAGAAGCATGTGCACAATTTCAACAGAAAGGGAAAAATCATGAGAATGAACAAAATCTGGCTCTAAAATTATAACAGTACATAAAGAACAAAACTCAAACACAGGGGAACACCAGAGAAGAAACCACCAGGAACCGCTAATCACCTCTCAACAAAGGATTCCCCTAGGCAGTAAAAACTGTCAGGCCACCAAATGCTAATCAAGGTGGCCAACTGAAACATTCACACTTGGCTCCAACAGACAAGAGTTCTTTCTCCCATCCTGGACTTTACACAGATATATAAACCCAATTTTCCTAGTTTCCAACAGACCTCACAACCTTTGAGGATGCCTGCCATAGATGCAAGCGAATCGTCAGGAGAGAATACTTCTACAACATGGCCATACAGCCCAAAAAAACCTACAACAACCCAGTGATTCCAGCCATGAAAGCCTTCAACAATACATAGATGTAAACACGTTGTTTTCCCCAAAAGCTCATCAATTCTGCAGTCAACAGTTAATCATTTGTCACAGTTCAGTTCGACAATACATTGGAACGGATTGCCAGATCATGATCAAGGACCTTATCACATTGGGATACAATCTGTTTCTATCGGAACGCATCCCATACTTTAAAAGGACTGGATGCAAACTATATTCAGACAGGATATACTGATCCCATCACACCCGATTATTACAACTTGAAAATATAGGCCGTCCCCAAGTTACAATTATCCAACTTACAAATAACTCAAAGTTAAGAATGGGGCTGAGGCAACAGGAAGTGAGAGGAATCTGCCCCTCGGAAGGAAGGGAAATTCACTCCTGGAAGAGCTATTATCATGGGGAAAAGGGGTCTTATAACTGCCTCCCACCCATTTCAGCTTAAAGGCAGTAACCCACAGCTGCTGTTTTTGTTTAGTAGCTGTGCTGGTACGGCTGTACCAGGAGCTCCAACTTTATTTGCTTTGTATTAAGTGTTTGTTTGCAGTCGTAGGTTTCAGGGTTCTGCAGATAGGTGGCTTCCTTTGGTTGCAGTCATAGGGCAAGTCACCTGTCCATCATCGTTAAGTTTTGGTCCTGCTCCTTGCTCAGGGCAATTGGGAAGGGAAGGGAGCCATTTTTTAGTTAGTCTCAGCAAGGAAAATTAATGTACAGGACATGTGCAAGCTTCCCCTGTACAAAAGCTTCAACCCTTAAGACTTTCAGGGGGAAAACAGTCTTAAGAGCCTCCAAAGATTCTAAAGATTTCCAGGGAAACAGGCCTAAAGCTTTGAAGAATTTCGGAGGGAACAGTTTGGAACACCAAAGAACTCCAGCTGGAGAATATCTAAGCCTTTACTGGTAAGTCCACTTGGTGCTTCGAGACGCAGTTCGACCCGGTAGCGGAGCCCACATCAGCAAGGGTTAGATTACAGTCAGCCTGGGAGGAGTTAAAAAAGGGGATTTTCCTTTAAAGTAAAAAAGAAGTTATTGAAGACAGTTGCCTGTCCTTCATGGGCAAGATTAGGAAGCCACCAGTTGCATAAAGCTTGGAAGCATTTGTTTAGCTTTATTGAAGACAAGAGAAGTTTCTGTTTGATTATTCATTAATAAAAGACTTTGTTATACTTCACAAGCCATCTAAAGGTCATTTGTGGTGGAAAACCTCTGAGAACTTCACCTTGGCTTCCCGCTGGGCAAAGGTTGCACGTCCTGTTCTAAAGACAATTATTTACAGGCCCAGCGTGCGACAGAACAGTAGCCATAAGCCCATGGCATTGGCCTTCTGCATTTGTCTATCAAGGGCACCAAGCGTTCATGCAAGGAGAGGTCACGTTTGGCCTAAGAGCTTGCAATGTGACTGTTCTGACGTTCATGGTTTCTTGTCTCTCCTCGGACAGATAACCCAGGCCTGCACTGCGGGGTATCAATATAAGGGTGGGAAACCCCCGAAAGCCCAGACGTTCATTCTGTGCAAAAAGGTAAAATAACTAGGCAAGTTCTCCATCTCACGGACATAGACGACGCTTCTGGTTGGGAAAGACCCCGTTCCTGCCGACTGACTCCATAGCGTTCCAAAGAATCCATGAAGGAATAAATTGATACACATACGGAATTCTCTAAATCAAAGCAAGTGAATAAAGTAATATCATGCAATTGTTGTTGTGTGCCTTCATGTTGTTTCTGAGTTATAGTGACCTCTGAGGAAGAAATATATATATATATATTCTGGGATAAATCAAACATATAGGGAACTGCAAAGGCGATTGGAAGGTGAAGGGGCGGTTATGATATAAATAAAGGGCCAGGCTATAGCACAGCTGGTAAATCACCACCAGCAGCAATAAGATCTAACAACCAAAAGGTTACCAGTTCAAAGTCCGGGTCGGGGTGAGTACTCGACTGTCAGCCCAGCTCACTGTTTACCTAAGCAGTTCAAAAACAGCTTAGAGCTGTAAGTAGAGCAATTAGGTATTGCTAAAACGTGGGGGAGGTATTTTACGACACGTAAAAGAAAAAGGGCCGTGATCATATAATGGTTAGTACTTTGCACATAAAAGAAAAAGACCAGAAAATGCCAGTGACCAAAAGGGAGGAAGTCCGGATGGCTCTCATCCACAATCGCGTCTGGTGGGGATGAGAGACAGGGCCTTTTCTGTGGTGGCCCCCAGGCTATGGAACTCTCTCCTGATTAAGATCAGAACTGCCCCCTCCCTCCTGACCTTCAGGAAGCTAGTGAAATCCTGGCGATGAAACGAGGCATTCCCAGTGTTGTGACTCAGCTGGACTCAGGTTCACAGTCTGGTTCAAAATGTCCCTGTTATAGACAGTGAAGAAATGCAGATTCCAACAGTAAGGCAAGAGAGTGTTGATACTGAAAATAGCCAGGTGCAGTCTGAGTCAGAGAAGGGAGAAAGTTCTCAGCCTGGTTCTCAGCCTGATAATGAGAAAGCAGGGAAACAGGCTAACGAAGAGACTGACCTTGACGATATGGGAACTTTAGATCAGGCTGACTGGTTGGAATTCTGAATTCGAAGGAGTGAAAGGATAGCTAACAAGAGGGAGGCTAGGGGCCAGAGAAAGGTCTTCATGTTTTGCAAAGGGTATTAAACAGTGTGTTTGAGACCAGGTCTTTGTCAAAGCAACTTCGCGTTGGAGATCTAAGGAGCTTGCCTAAGCTAGGCTGGATCATCTTGCAGTTTTGTTGTTCATGGTTGCAGGACTTTGTCATGTTCTCTTGGTTTTTGCTTTGCTGATGCCTTTTTGGATTAAGCTTCAAGTGTAATGTTTTATTGATCCTTTGGAACATTAACCTTTGTTTTAAAGAACTTTTTAACCTTTTATTTTTAATAAACCGTAAAGACGACTGGCTGTGTGCAGTCTGGTGTTCTTCAGCAAGGTGAATCTACTCTGAGGTGCAACAACCAGAATGGTGGCGGAGGCTGGCAATTGACTAAAGTTATCGACCACATATGCGGACTGAGTTGGACATGATTTTATCTTGACGAAATGGATTTTTTGTATTTTAGTCTATATGTATTTTAATTTATTGTTGATGTACGATGTTTTAGATTGTATTGTTAGCATTGAATCCTTGCTGTTAGCCAGTCTGAGTCCCTCTACGGAGGTAGAGAAGATCGGGATACAAAAGTTTTAAATAAATAAATAAATAAGTGAATGAATGAATAGAGAATGGAGCGACAGCACCCCCCTGTGGCTGGATTTGAGCACAACATCCAAGGTGCCGAAAAGCTGGACATCAACACAACACAACTCCTGTCCTGTCCTGTTTGTCCAAACGACATTGAATGTTTGCCACGTATGTGTACTGTGATCCACCCTGAGTCCCCTTGGGGAGATAGGGTGGAATATAAACAAAGTTTTGTTGTTGTTGTTGTTGTTGTTGTTGTTATTATTATTATTATTATTATATTTCTGAAGCTTAACTATGAGAAGAACGAGACACAGCCACATTTTGGAATACTGCTTTATATTCTGTGGCAGGTGCAAAGATAAAGACAAGGAAAAGGAAAGGTGCATCAAGCAGGAGGGCCGCTGAGCTTTGCATCCTCCTTCAGCGCTCAGATCTCCGGGATCATAAGGCTTCGGTTCTTCAGGGACCCGTTTTTGCCATTAGTGGTGGAGACCCCAGATGAAGCCATGTCCGAATCCTTTGAAGAAATTTCCAAGCCCTCTGAATCTGGTGATGCGGGAATCCTGGGGGAAGAAAGGCAGGCAGGGTATTATGGGGGGCAACCTGGGCGCCCTGACACTGAAGCTCTGACCCTCAGGTGGTTCTCCCAAGGTTGAGGTGGAATCTCTTCTCCTAGTTTGAACCCACAGCTCTGGAGCAGCAGAAGATAACTTAGCCCCTTCCTCCTCAATGGGACCTCTTTTCACATATTTAAATCTGGTCCTCTTGTCCCTTTCTCCCAGCCTTCTCTTCACCAAGCTAATCATCTCCACAATCCCATATCTGCTCTTCAGAAGGAGTCATGAGCTAGATCTTGGATCATTTTGGCTGCCTTTCTCTGGAGAGCTGATCCAGCTCCGTCTTGAATGGAGGTGTCCAAAATGGGACACTGGGTTATTATTCCAGAAGAGGTCCTCCCTCCCAAATGATAGGATCCTGAAGATGCAATATCGTTGTATTAATTGTTAGAAGACAATAATCTTAATCTGTATTAAATGGTCAATTTGGAATGTTGGTTCAGAAACACAGCAGAGATGGGAAGCTGGTAAGAGTAAGGATAGGCTGGAATGTGGACAGCTAGGTTCCCACAGCAATAGGACACTCTGACCCAGGCTTTGGCCTGCAAAGGTGGCCAAGATAAAACTGTTGTAAACTGAGGAGAACCATGACCTCATTGGGCTGGGAATGAACAAGATAGGTGGAGTTAAAGAAGGGAGTGGAGGTGGGGATGGAAAGGAGATGGAACTGGGAAGCATTCGGGCATTCTGGCCTTTACAGAGCCCACCTTGGGTTTTGCTTCTGCAGAAATAAAGCTTCTGCGTAATAATCTCCTCGTTTCTGGTCTAACTTGGGAAACAAGTCCAAGAATATATTTAAAGAAAGGACAGCAATTTCACATGACGTCCAAACAGGGACCTGGACCCTCAGATCCTGAGATCTTGGAACCACAGCTTCTCTCCTCCTTCTCCTTCTCCTTCTCCTTCTCCTGCTCCTTCTCCTTCTCCTGCTCCTTCCCCTGCTCCTTCTCCTGCTCTTTCTCCTTCTCCTGCTCCTTGTCCTGTTCCTTCTCCTTCTTTTCCTGCTCCTTCTCCTGCTACTTCTTCCCCTGCTCCTTCTCCTGTTCCAACTCCTTCACCTGTTCCATCTCCTTCTCCTGTTCCTTCTCCTGCTCCTACTCTTTCTCCTTCTTCTCTTTCTTCTTCTCCTTCTCTTTCTCCCTCTCCCTCTTCTTCTCCTCCTCATTCCCCTTCTCCTCGTTCTCCTTCACCTTCTCCTTCTCCTGCTCCTTCTCTTCCTCTTCTTCTTTTCCCTGTTTGACCTTCTCCATCTTTCATTTGCTTCTTCCTTTTCCTCCCCTCCCTTGCTTCTCTCCTTCCTTCCTTCCTTCCTTCCTTCCTTCCTTCCTTCCTTCCTTCCTTCCTTCCTTCCTTCCAGTGTCAAGGGCCCTTGAGGGGCTCCAAACAAAGGGGATCCATTGTGCTCATTTGCACCTACACCAAGCACAGGCAAACTTTGGCCCTCCAGGTGTTTTGGACTTCAACTTTCACAATTCCTAACAGTTGATAGGCTGTTAGGAATTGTGGAAGTTGAAGTCCAAAACACCTGGAGGGTCGAAGTTTGCCCGTGCCTGATTGACACTGTTGGATGGATCCATTCTGACCCCAGTTTGAACTGCTGTAGCTGAATGCTGTGAAATCCTGAGAGTCGTAAATCGCAGAGGGACTAACCCTCTTATTCTTGTCAAACTCCATCTCCCAGGACATCATAACATTGAGGTAGGGCAGTTAAAGTGGGGTGAAACCGCATTCCTTCTACAATGTAGATGTGTCCTAGGTTTTCCTGGGAGACTCTTATCAATAGGGTCTGGTTTTGCCCCGAAATATAAGAAACTTCCAACATCTTCCATATGAGGAAGGGAAACGTACCTCTTGCACGGCCGTATCACAAGTGACGACAATCAGGGAGTTTGCCTGCTCTGTGGAGAAATATCCGGAACAATCCTTCACCAGCTGCAAAGTTGAACAGAAGAAAACATGTAAAATAAGAATATTATCCTTTGGTTTGATTTTGCTCAGTTTCTGAATCCTTATCCAGAATTCAAAAATACTCCAAAATTCAAAATTGTTCACATGGGAGGCTGAGAAAGTGACCATTTTGCTTTTGAATGGGTCAATGTATGCAAATTCATGTGAACAAATATTGAAAATATTGTGCCTAAAATGACCTTTAAAATTATATTAAAGGAAACAGAACGCACCCATCTGGCAGTGGATTTTGTCAAGGAGGGTTTTTTTGTGTGTGTCAGGAGCAACTTGAGAAACTCCAAGTCGCTTCTAGTGTGAGAGAATTGGCCGTCTGCAAGGACATTGCCCAAGGGACATTGCCTGGATGTTTTGATGTTTTACCATCCTTGTGGGAGGCTTCTCTCATGTCTCTGCATGGGGAGCTGGAGCTGACAGAGGGAGCTCATTCGCACTCTCCCCCCCCCCCGAATTCGAACCTGTAACCTCTCAGTCTTGCTGGCACAAAGGTTTAATCCACTGCGCCACCAGGGGCGCCATGTCAATGTTAGACTGTAGGATCTAAACAGCAATATTAAATAACCACTCACAAGCCGGCTTGCTTTGAAATGGATATATGAGGCATCACTGTATAACCCCCTGAGTGTAAAGCGATGCTCCATCTCCTCACCTTGGACCTTGTTTTGCAAATGGAGGACAAAAAGAATGGTTCCTTACCCCATTGGCTTTGAATTCACATTCTTCAGCCAGGACTTTCTCTGAAGCCGGGCAGACGGTCTCTTGTATGGTAAAGTTCATCTGCTGAAGCCTTGCGGAGCTGGAGTTCTTGGGGGAGAAACCAAACAAAAGAGCAAAAGGCAGTTATTGGTGTGAAGGACTTTCACTGTCTTTGAAACATCTAATACTTTAAACACCCAAACTTTCCTGCAAAAGTCACAGCCTCATCAGTTTGGCTCTGGGCTGCCATTTCTCTCCAATATATGGAGTATTTTGCTTGGTTATGTGATAGCAATTTAGCTTCAGAACAATTATAGAAGATCTTGGATCCCTGCTAAGAAAGAAGAGTAATTCGGGGACTTGCTTGAGTCAGGTAGAATATTCACAGTAAGGTCAACCAGGGAGCTGACTCATTGTCGCTCATTGTTCTATCTATCTATCTATCTATCTATCTATCTATCTATCTATCTATCATCCATCCATCCATCCATCCATCCATCCTTTCATCCACATACATGCACAAACATACCTAAAGTCAGCCCTTCACATTTCATAGAATTATTGAGTTGGAAGAGATCTCATGGGACATCCAGTCCAACCCCATTCTGCCAAGAAGCAGGGAAATCGCATTCAAAGCACCCCTGGCAGATGGCCACCCAGCCTCTGCTTCAAAGCCTCCAAAGAAGGAGCTTCCACCACACTCCGGGGCAGAGAGAGAGTTCCACTGCTGAACATCTCTCTCACACAGTCAGGAAGTTCTTCCTCATGTTCAGGTGGAATCTCCTTTCCTGTAGTTTGAAGCCATGGCTCCATTGCATCCTAGTCTCAAAGGAAGCGGAAAACAAGCTTGCTTCCTCTTCCCTATGACTTCCCCTCACATATTTATCCACGGCCATCATGTCTCCTCTTAGCCTTCTCTTCTGAAGACTAAACATGCCCAGCTCTTTCAGCCACTCTTCATCGGGCTTGCTCTCCAGACCCTGAATCCTTTGAGTCACCCTCTTCTTCTGAAAACAATCTAACTTAGAGTCAACATCTTCCTTCAGTTGCGCTGCCCATTCTCCAGACCCCTGATCATTTTAGTTGCCCCCTTTCTCTGGAGAGATTCCAGCTTAGGGTCAACATCTCTCTTCAATTGTGGTGCCCAGAATTGGACTCAGTGTGATTCCAGGTGTGGTCTGACCAAGGCAGAATAGAGCATGGGGAGCATGACTTACCTGGATCTGAACACTAGACTCCTATTGTTGCAGGCCAAAATCCCATTGGCTTTTTTAGCTGTAGCATCACATTGTTGGCTCATGTTTAACTTGTTGTCAAAGGACTCCAAGATCTTTGAGGATTTAACTTGCAGATTTCCTTATTACTTGTAGATTTGGTTAATGTGTTTTCTCTAGGAAACTTCAGGTCCTCCAGGATCAACTTCTGGTGGACATTTAACCATAGACTTTCTAATGCAGATGGACAGACCATTCCAGTGCAATTATAATGCAAATGAAACTGCATTATATGGCAGTGTAGAGGGGTCCATAGATAAGGAGTGCTGGATTGTTGTAGGTTTTTTCAGGCTATATGACCATGTTCTAGAGGCATTCTCTCCTGATGTTTCGCCAAAATCTATGGCAAGCACCCTCAGAGGTAGTGAGGTCTGTTGGAACTATGAAAATTGGGTGCATATATCTGTGGTGGGATAAATATATTCCACAGATATATAAACCCAATTTTCCTAGTTCCAACAGACCTCACTACCTCTGAGGATGCTTGCCATAGATGCAGGCGAAACGTCAGGAGAGAATGCCTCTAGAACATGGCCATATAGCCCGAAAAAAACTACAACAACCCAGTGATTCCAGCCATGAAAGCCTTCGACAATACAATAAGGAGTGCTATTTCTTTTATTTCAGCAGTATCTAGAGCAGGGGTCCTCAAACTAAGGCCCAGGGGCCGAATATGGCCCTCCGATGTCATTTACCCAGCCCTCGCTCAGGGTCAACGTAAGTCTGAAACAACTTGAAAGCACAGCAACAACAACAATCCTATGTCATCAGCCAAAAGCAGGCCCACGCTTCCCATTGAAATACTAATAAGTTTATATTCATTAAAATTATTCTTCATTTTAATTATTGTATTGTTTTAAGTGTTTTTTGCACTACAAATAAGATATGTGCAGTGTGCATAGGAAATCATTCATGTTTTTTTTTTCCTTCAAATTATAATCTGGCCCTACAACAGTTTGAGGGACTGTGACCTGGCCCTCTGTTTAAAAGGTTTGAGGACCCCTGATCTAGAGCAATGGTTCTCAACCTGTGGGTCTCCAGATGTTTTGACCTCCAACTCCCAGAAATCCCAACAGCTGGTAAACTGGCTGGGATTTTTGGGAGTTGAAGGCCAAAACAACTGGGGACCTACAGGTTAAGAACCACTGAGCTAGAGTATCACATCCACACCTTCCACATCTCCCTATTTGGTCAGGACCGTCCTAGCCCTAACTTGTCTCTTCCTCCTCGTTCATAACTGTTGCTGTCTTGACCACACTCTGATATTACTTGGCCCCAAGCGTCTCAATTTCCATGGGTGATTTTTTCCCCCAGTGATTGAAGTGGTATTAAAGTGCTATAACTGGAGTCTGAATGGGCAATGTGGCCCTGACGCATGAGATATTGACCTCTACACAGGGGTGGCTCAACCATTACGCAAAGTAAGCATTTGCAGTACAGTTGATTTTGCCCAGGGGTGCTCTTGAGGCGCTCTTGGGGGAAAATAGACCTTGACATATGCGAGTTGTAGTTACTGGGATATATCGTTCACCTACAATCAAAGAGCATTCTGAACTCCACCAATGATGGAATTGAACCAAATATGGCACACAGAACTCCCACAATGAACAGAAAATATATATCAGTGATTGGTTGGGGGTGTAAAATACTATGCACTTACTGTTGAAAATTACCTAGGGCCACCTCTGCCTCTACAGAACATTAATTTGATGGCAAAACACCGGCCGTGGATTGCAGATGCTCAGCAAGCATTTAACAACACAAACTTCTGAAGGTCATCTAAACTTGAAGGGAACTGTTTTCCTTCTTGCTGCGAACTGACCGCTGCCCTTCAGACGTTTTGCAGATAACACTATGTAACATGATTTTTGCTCCTGGGTTATTAATGTTGTTTTGTAATTGGTCCTATCATAAATACATGGACAAAGTTTATTAAACTGCCCAAACTTTGTTTATATGCGATATCCTTCTATAGCACATTTTGCTCTAGTTTTTCAATATCTCATTGAGTCTGAACCAATTCAACCAAGTTTGTGTCAGCCACCAAAACAGAGTTTCTGGAGTAGAACAACTACTTTCAAAGTAAGTATTGCACAATTAAAGAGGAGATAACCCTTTCGGACCAGGAACAGATAATTTGTCAAATTGTACTACCTAGTGTAATGGTGACCCCTCTCTTCCCCTGAGTCGGACTCACCAGCCCAGGCAGCGGCATGGCTTCCAGGAGGCGGAAGGCATTCCGGACGTTGGGACCCTGGTTGTAGATGGCCACCACCTGCGCAAGAGCCTCCTGGAAGTCTTTTGGGGGAGACAAGGGGGCAGCGGCTGCCAGGCCCACCAGCAGGAGGAAGGCTCCCCAAAAGCGTCCCATAGTGAGTGATCTCTGGGAAAGAGGGAGCCTCCTGGGCTTTATATGCTCTGAGGTTGACCTTTCCATGGCTCAGTGGGGCCTGGCTCAAGGGTTTCCTCACTCCTGTGGCTTCTTCTGTGGACAGCTTGACCAATAACCAGCAGACACAGTTTGCCAATGGCCCCTCCATTGAGGTTTCGCTGGTTTGGTGCAGGACGGAAGCGGTGAGGTCTGTCTGTGAGAACTTTAGAGGTGATTTTATGACTCAAGCCAGTGAACTTTATGAGGGCTATTTTAATCGCCACCTTTATTTTCATAGGAATTTATTTGAAGAGCACTTCCATTGGAATAACGCTTTGATAGCACCCCATAAAAGGAGTGGTCAGAACTTGGAAAGGTTCTCCTTCCTAGGACTAGAAGCTGGCCGTAGAATGAATCCTTCATCCTTGGAGCCCATTATGCTCAGCCCTGATCAGCAGTCATGGCCGTATCCAGGGTTTTGGGCAGGATTTGTCCCCAGAAATTCCCATAATTCTATAACCATTGGAGTCAAACAGCATCCATTCTACAATGTAGACACATCCTTTGACAGAGACCCATCCAGTTATTTAGCATCCGAGGCATTCCTATTTGTGTTGGTTGTCTGTCTGATGGGCCTTCCCTGATAAACGGATTGACCTTTGAGTGGACAGCAGGTCATGGGACCTCAATATTAAGAAAAACGTTCTCATGGTAAGAGCAGTTTGAGTGGGAGAGATTGCCTTGGGGCTTGACTACACTACTAAAAACTTTGTACTCGTTGCAGATGGGCTTCCAGATGGACACCACCATCATCTCTCTTTCTCTGTCTTGATGAAAGCATGGATCATGCGCATGTTGCTGATGCCACAGCTTCTTGTTGGCCAAAGAGTTGTGTCAGGATGCCTGGCCATTGCATGTCACATCTATGATGTTAAAATGGGGCACCCTTGAAGCCAGCAACCCTTCTCCTTGCTGCTCTCACTAGGACCTCATTCAAATAACAGCAGATGTGACCACAGCAGCCAGGGACTTGGATGGAGCTCCCAACATGGAGGTAGCAATGGTTCAGTGGGACCAATGGAGCTCTGGCCTGTCTGGACAATGGCTCTGGATTCAGCATTTAAGTGCTGAATTCAGGGCTGTTTCAAAGGAAGGTTTATACTGGACTAACCCTTGGATGGTGGTGGAGCCTCTTAAAAACATGGGTTGACTATTTCTCAGGAATGCTTCAGTTGTGTATCTCTCCATGGCAGGCAGATAGACAAGGTGGTTCTTGAGGTCCCTTCCATATAGAATAATATCCTAGAATTGGGAGAGACCCCAAGAGTCAACCTTCTTAGATAGATGGGTGGACAGATGGATAGACAGATAGATGGATAGATAGATAGATAGATAGATAGATAGATAGATAGATAGATAGATAGAGATAGATAATAGAATATTAGTTGGAAGTGATCTCAAAGGCCAACATCTTTAGATGGATGGATGGATGGATGAGTAGATAGCTAGAGATAGATAGATAATAGAATATTAGTTAGTGATCCCAAGGGCCAACATCTTTAGATGGATGGATGGATGGATGGATGGATGGATGGATGGGTAGGTAGATAGATAGATAGATAGATAGATAGATAGATAGATAGATAGATAGATAGACAGAGATAGATAATAGATTAGTGGAAAATGATCCCAAGGGCCAACATCTTTAGATGGATGGATGGATGGATGGATAGATAGATAGATAGATAGATAGAAAGATATAGATAATAGAATATTAGTTGGAAGTGATCCGAAGGGCCAACATCTTTGGATGGATGGATGGATGGATGGATGGACAGATAGATAGAGATAGATAATAAAATATTAGTTGGAAGTGATCCCAAGGGCCAACATCTTTAGATGGATAGATGGATGGATGGATAGATAGATAGATAGATAGATAATAGAATATTAGTTGGAAGTGATCCCAAGGGCCAACATCTTTAGATGGATAGATGGATAGATGAATGGATGGATGGATGGATGGATGGATAGATAGATAGATAGACAGACAGACAGACAGACAGACAGACAGATAGATAGATATAGATAATAGAATATTAGTTGGAAGTGATCCCAAGGGCCAACATCTTTAGATATATAGATGGATAGATGGATAGATGGATAGATGGATGGATGGATGGATGAATAGATAGATAGATAGATAGATAGATAGATAGATAGATAGATGGATGGATAGCTATTGATAACAGAATATTAGTTGGAAGTGATCCCAAGGGCCAACATCTTTGGATGGATGGATGGATGGATGGATGGATGGACAGATAGATAGAGATAGATAATAAAATATTAGTTGGAAGTGATCCCAAGGGCCAACATCTTTAGATGGATAGATGGATGGATGGATGGATAGATAGATAGATAGATAGATAGATAGATAGATAGATATATGAATTAGTTTTATATATATACTAGCTTTACCCGCCACGCATTGCTGTGGATTTTGTGTTGTTAGCCCAACATCTTTTAGATGGATGATGGATGGATAGATAGATAGATAGATAGATAATAGAATATTAGTTGGAAGTGATCCCAAGGGCCAACATCTTTAGATATATAGATGGATAGATGGATGGATGGATGGATGGATGGATGGATAGATAGATAGATAGATAGACAGATAGAGAGATAGATATAGATAGAGATATAGTTGGAAGTGAAAGAAAGGTGAAGAAATAGAGAGAGAAAAAGAGAAATGTACTGATGAATGGATGAATAGATAGATAGATAGATAGATAGATAGATAGATAGATAGATAGATAGATAGATAGTGGATGATCTGTGTAGGGAACTTGACAGGGGGAGCGTGTCCCTGATGGTTGATAGAGATAATAGAATATTAATTGGAAGTGATCCCAAGGGCTAACATATTAGATAGAGATGGATGGATGGATGGATGGATGGATAGATAGATAGATAGATAGATAGATAGATAGATAGATATAATAGAATATTAATTGGAAGTGATCCCAAGGGCCAACATCTTTAGATGGATGGATGGATGGATGGATGGATGGATGGATGGATGGATGGATGAATGAATGGATGGATGGATAGATAGATAGATAATAAAACATTAGAGTTGGAAGAGAGACCAAGGGCCAGCTGTGTGTGGATTCCATGGCTGAACAACGCTTAAGTTCTACCTAATGTTAAGGTGGAATTTCTTTTTCTGCTATTTGTAACTATACTGCCCTATAATGCAGTTTGAATTGAATTATAAAGGTCAAATGAGATTCCTTTCCAATATAGGCAGTCCCTGAGTTACAAACATCTGACTCACAAATTACTCTTAGTTAAGAACGGAGTGTGAAAAGAGGATTTGAGAGGAATTTGCAACTCAGAAGGAAGGGAAATTCAGTCCCATAAAAGTTATTATCCTGGGGAAAAGGGGTCTCCACTGAAGCTGTAGTTCTAATCCTTGTTTCCACAACAAGCCATGTCTTCCAAACACCAATGATCACAGGGACAGAACGTGAGGTGAAATCTTCTTGATCCTAGGAAAGGGAGAATGGATGACCATCAACATTTCCTGCAAATGCCCTATACTAGGCTAGCATACCAAGAATGGAGACAGTCCAGTCTTGGCTCTGACGGTTGAGGCCGTTTTCTGTGGTCTGATCTCCAGGAGGTCCAACCACCTGCCGTTCTTTTCCACCAGGGAAGCTGCGGCCCGAGGGAGGTTGCAACGTCCTTTTGGGTTTGTGGGCAGATCCCACAGAAAGGAAGGCTTCTCCTTTTTCCCTGGAGGTGGTTGGGAAGGAGCCACCTTCTCTTCCTCTTTGTGGACATCTGCAAAGGCATTGGTGAGCCATTGCTCTCCCAAGGGACGCTTGCGACACGATTGCAGCAATTGTGCAAAACGAAGGCCCCGTTGGCCCCATTGCTTGTAAGGTGTGTTTTTCCACCCTTGTAAGATATTGCTGGGGGTGGAGGGTGGGGATGATTACAAACTGCTAATTAAAACAAGACCAAGAACAAACTCTACTTGGGTTGGGTTGTTGTAGGGTTTTTTTCGGGCTATATGGCCATGTTGTAGAGGCATTTTCTCCTGACGTTTCACCTGCATCTATGGCAAGCATCCTCAGAGGTAGTGGTATCTACCTCTGAGGATGCTTGCCATAGATGCAGGTGAAACGTCAGGAGAAATGCTTCTAAAACATGGCCATATAGCTCGAAAAAACCCTACAACAACCCAGTGATTCCGGCCATGAAAGCCTTCGACAATACAGTGAACTTTACTAGATTGTTTTAAAAAAAGAGTGTTATTATTTCCACTAAGAAGATTCGTTATTTGGACTATTCTGAAATCTGAAATACTCCAGACACACTATGCAACACAGTTTTTGTTCTGGGGTTATGAATGTCATTTCCTCATTGGTTTTGATATATAAACATGGAAAAAGTTTATTAAATGTTAGATCCGAAACTAAATAGTGACACCTTTGCTTTCTGATGATTCAGAAAGCAAAGATGCCTGCCACAGATGCCTGCCACAGATGCAGGTGAAATGTCAGGAGAGAATGCTTCTAGAACAGTGGTTCTCAACTTACCTAATGTCGTGACCCCTTAATACAGTTCCTTATGTTGTGTTGACCCCCAACCATAACATTATTTTTGTTGCTACTTCATAACTGTAATTTCGCTACTGTTATGAATCGTAATGTAAATATCTGATATGCAGGATGGATTTTATTCACTGGACCAAACTGGGCACAAATACCCAATGCACCCACATGTAAATGCTAGTGGAGTTGGGGGAGGATTGATTTTGTCATTTGGGAGTTGTAGTTGCTGGGATTTATAGTTCACCTACAATCAAAGAGCATTCTGAACTCCCACCAACGATGGAATTGAATCAGACCTGGCCACACAGAAATCCCATGACCAACAGAAAATGCTAGAATGGCTTGGTGGGCATTGACCTTGAGTTTGGGAGTTGTAGTTCACCTAAATCCAGAGAGCACTGTGGACTCAAACAATGATCAATCTGGACCAAACTTGGCACAAACACTCAATACGTCCAAATATGGAGTTTGGGGAAAATAGACCTTGACATTTGGGAGTTGTAGTTGCTGGGATTTATAGTTCACCTACAATCAAAGAGCATTCTGAACCCCCAATAGAATTGGGCCAAACTTCCCACACAGACCCCCATGACCACCAGAAAATATTGTATTTTCTGATGGTCTTTGGTGACCCCTCTGACACCCCCTCGTCCCCCCCCCCCCCAGGTTGAGAAACACTGTTTCTAGAACATGGCCATACAACCCGAAAAACCTACAAAAACCCAGTGATTCTGGCCATGAAAGCCTTCGACAATATACAAGGAGGTATCTAAAGGGGAAGCATTTGGGGCCCAAGAATGGAGACACAAAGAACTGAAGGCATCCATTTATTGAATGGTATAGTGTGGGTCCAGATGCTAGTCGGCCACTCAAGCAAATGGACACTTTACCCTTTGACATAGGTTTTCAAAAATCAATCTAGCCAAAAAAATAATGGAACAGCAATTCGCAAATCTATAAGACGCAACCTTATTTGGGGACAACACAAGAACTGCATTGACAGCGTAGAATGAATCCTGTTTGATACTACTTCAACTATACTTCCGTCCTCCAGGTGTTTTGGACTTCACTTCCCACGATTCCTACCAGCCTACCAGCTGGGAATTAAAGTCCAAAATACCTGGAGAGCTGAAGTTGGCCTATGCCTGGTGTAGATGCACCCAATGTGGGATCAAACTGGGATAAGAAATGGGCACGAGTTGTAACAAGGGATATTTGGGTCTGCTTTGAATCTCTCTCCATCTCTCATAGAAGGAGCTTCCCTGCCACCACAATGGCCTTTTGGAGGACGATATTGCGGATGGCGGTCTGCAGAGGTTTGCGCAGACGGCGCCGGGTCTTCCTCCAGAACTTCTTGAACCGCTTCACTCGCTTGGGTCGCTCCGTCTAGAAGGGAAAAGAGAAGAGAAAAACTCAGATGGGGGCAAAATCTAGGGCAGCAACTCCCCATGGTGTGTTTAATGGGAGTTGCAATCCAAACATGACGCTCCTGGCACTTCTCTTTCCAGTTCTTGTTGCAGCTTTTCTTCTTTGGCTGAATTGACACTGTCATATAATCCAGATTATTTTCTTTGAACTGGATTGTATGGCAGTGTTGACTAATCCAGTTCAAAGCAGATAATCTAGATCAGTGGTTCTCAACTTTCCTAATGCTGCGACCCCTTAGTACAGGTTCTCATGTTGTGTTGACCCCCAACCACAACGTTATTTTCGTTGCTACTTCACAACTGTCATTTTACTACTGTTATGGATTGTAATGTAAATCTCTGATATGCAGGATGTATTTTTAGTCACTGGACCAAATTTGGCACAAATACCCGATATGCCCAAATCTGAATACTGGTGGGGTTGGGGGTGATTGATTTTGTCATTTGGTAATGCTGGAGTTGCTGGGATTTATAGTTCACCTAAAATCAAAGAGCCTTCTGAACTCAACCAATGATGGAATTGAATCAAACTTGGCACACAGAATTCCCATGACCAACAGAAAATACTGGAAGGGTTTGGTGGGCATTGACCTTGAGTTTTGGAGTTGTAGTTCACCTACATCCAGAGAGCACTGTGGACTCAAACAATGATGGATCTGGACCAAACTTGGCACAAATACTCAATATGCCCAAATGTGAACACTGGTGGAGTTTGGAGAAAATAGACCTTGACATTTGGGAGTTGTAGTTGGTGGGATTTATAGTTCACCTACAATCAAACATTCTGAACCACACCAATGATAGAATTTGACCAAACTTTCCACACAGAACCCCCATGACCAACGGAAAATACTATGTTTTCTGATGGTCTTTGGCGACCCCTCTGACACCCCCTCGCGACCCCCACAGGGGTCCCGACCCCCAGGTTGAGAAACGCTGATCTAGATTCAGAAATTGGAGTATATATATGGTGCCTTAGGACATTTGTTTCATTTGTGAAGTGACTTCATTGTCATCCTGATGTAGGGACTCAATGTGGCTTGACAATCAATATGCAAATTAAAACAATCTAAAATGTATCAAAATATTAGTGTGTGTGTGTATCTCTTAAGAACAGTTAAACTCTTCAATTAAATTGAATATACCTCTCCAAAATGTTTATAATAATAATAATAATAATAATAATAATAATAGGTTGTTGTAGGTTTTTTCGGGCTATATGGCCATGTTCTAGAGGCATTCTCTCCTGACGTTTCGCCTGCATCTATGGCAAGCATCCTCAGAGGTGGTGAGGTCTGTTGGAACTAGGAAAATGGGTTTATATATCTGTGGAATGACCGGGGTGGGACAAAGGACTCTTGTCTTCTGGAGTTAGGTGTGAATGTTTCAACTGACCACCTTGATTAGCATATAATGGCCCGGCAGTGCCTGGAGCAATCTTTTGTTGAGAGGTGATTAGATGCTGTCTTGCTGTTTTAATTTTAGAGTTTTTTAATACTGGTAGCCAGTATTAAAAAACACTAAATTTAGCATATAATTGCCTGACAGTGCCTGGAGCAATCTTTTGTTGAGAGGTGATTATATGTCCTTGTTTGTTTCCTCTCTGTTGTTGTGCTGTTGTAATTTTAGAGTTTTTTTTAATACTGGTAGCCAGATTTTGTTCATTTTCATGGTTTCCTCCTTTCTGTTGAAATTGCCCACATGCTTGTGTATTTCAACAATACTTAATAATAATAATTTAGGAAATTAGACATTAGGGGAGAAGATAGTTTATTATTAAGATAGGGAAGTTGTTGGAGCATGCAAGGAATCAGTTAATGTGTGTGTGTCAACTGTAAAATAAGATGCATGAAGCTGATTGGTCAGGCATTGTTTGGGGAGCAGGCTGAGCCTGGGACTTTTGGATACTGTTACATTTTTGTTCAGGCTTGAGCTATGCATGTGCAGAGACAGTTTGAAGAGAGAAGCAGAGAGAGACAAATTTTGGAGTGTACTCCCGCTTCATGAGCTTCTGAAGGAGTTTATCCACATGGATAAAGAAAGAACATTTTAAATTTCTCATATAAGGACATTATGTGAGTTGATGCAACTGATCACCTTGTTATTTTTGTTGTTGTGAACTACGAAGAGTAAACTACTTGTTCTTTATTGTTCATCTGTGTGGCATGTTTACTTTCTCTGGCAAGGCAGTGTGTGGGCTGATCCAACGTGAACTACATGGCGTTTATTTTACATTATGCCAGAGAAGTATATCTCTGTGACTTGAGCAAGAGAGTTGAGAAAACATAAAACTTTAATGTATTGTCGAAGGCTTTCATGGCCGGAATCACTGGGTTGTTGTAGGTTTTTTCGGGCTGTATGGCCATAGTCTAGAGGCAGGAAACCATGAAAATGAACAAAATCTGGCTACCAGTATTTAAAAAAATCTAAAATTACAACAGCAAAACAACAGAGAAAAAACAATCAGGGACATCTAATCACCTCTCAACAAAAGATGGCCATTGTATGCTAATCAAGGTGGTCAGTTGAAACATTCACACCTAGCTCCGGCAGACAAGAGTCCTTTGTCCCACCCTGGTCATTCCACAGATATATAAACCCATTTTCCTAGTTCCAACAGACCTCATAACCTCTGAGGATGCTTGCCATAGATGCAGGCGAAACATCAGGAGAGAATGCCTCTATAACATGGCCATATAGCCCCGAAAAACCTACAACAACCCATAAAATTTTAGATGGTGATTTGTTCCTATAGTAAATAATGTGGAAGTTTAATAAGACCATATGTTGGACAGCAACTCCCAGGACTCCATCGGTGGTTAAAGTTGTCTCAAAGTGGATTAACTCTGCAGTGTAGACACAGGGGGTATCACCTCCTTACCGTTTTCTCTTCGTTGGTGATACTGCAAACCAGGACGGCTGCTGGCGGCTCTTCGTTGAGGAAACAGAAGCCAAAGCATGTTTTAACCAACTGCAAAAGAGGGAGAAAATAAAAGAGAAGTTGAAACCTCCTTTTGGGGCCAATTGAACTATGCTTTATTGCTCCAGTAAGATTCCACGTTGGTGGACTACCTTGATTTGGTCTTTTGAGGAATTTCTTGGACTTCTATTGTCAAGTTCTGCTAGATGTTGACGATAGATAAGGCATGGGCCAACTTGAGCCCTCCCTCCAAGTGTTTTGAACTGCAACTCTCACAATTCCTAACAGCCAGTAGGCTGTTAAGAATTGTGGGAGTTGAAGTCCAAAACACCTGGAGGCCCCAAGTTGGCCCATGCCTGCCCTAGATGGATTCATGTTGAAGTGTAAATGATGTCTTCACCCAAAGGGGAGCAATCAGAGGCTGATCAAGGGGGATGTCGTCCTCCTGAGAGTCCTCCCTTCCTTACCCCATTGTCTTTGAAGGTACACTCTTCCTCCTCCTCCTCCTCCTCCTCCTCTTCTTCCAGTTTTGGGGACTTCTCCTTCACCTGGCAATCCACCTCTTTCAGGGTGAAGTTCAGCTGTTGGGCATTGACCGAATTGGCATCCTGAGAAGGGAAGGAAGCAAACCTGAGGCATTAAATGTCCAAGGCGGATCCATGCTGCAAAATTATAGTCGTAATAATAATAATAATAATAATAATACCTCATTTGTATTCTGCCCTAACTCCCTGAGGGGACTCAGGGCAGATTCCAGCATACACAAACACAAAAGCTAACATTCAATTCCTGGAATCAACAAAACACAGATAAAGGTCAAGGCTTCCCTTTCTGACTCTGGGACTCTGGTGCTCATCTCCATTTCTAAGCCAAGAGCCAGCATTGTCCATAGACACCTCCAAGGTCATGTGGCCAGCATGACTGCATGGAGTGCCATTACCTTCCTTGGAGCAGTACCTATTGATCTACTCACATTTGCATGTTTTCAAACTGCTAGTTTGGCAGAAGCTGGGGCTAACAGCGGGAGCTCACACCGCTCCCCAGATTCAAATCTGAGACCTTCTGGTCAGCAAGTTCAGTTGGCGGTTTAACCCACTGCACAACTGGGGATGCAACCTATGGAACAGAGGCTTAATCTAGGCTGCCATATAATCTGGTTTCTGAATCCGGATAGCAATGACTAACTACCTGCTTGCTGGACTGTAATTAAAAGTTGCTAATAAGAACTGAAAAGTAAACTCTGATAAGAACTGTGACAATGATATCAGAAATGCTTACATTGTCAGAAAGGAAGTCAACATAAAACCAACACCAATCAAGAAGAATCAACATCTGCCCAGGAAGCTGAGATGGAACCAGGATGGAAGATGTCTATCATTAATTTACATCTTTGGGATGACATCAACATAATATTCCTATAAAAGACTCAATCTAATAATGCTCAAAGTGTGGCAGACCTGAGGAGTCTGTTCCAACCTTCATACTCTGCTCCATGGGAAGGAGAGAGATGGTGTATTCAGAGAGTGGCAGATTTGCAAGGGAGCAGTCTGGCCACTTTAGGGCTTCTTTCTCAAGGGAAGAGGAAGGAGTGCACTTTTGGAGTCTTAGATTTTGTGCAGGGAGTCAGGTTTCTCTGTGTGGAAAACACAGATCTGGTCCTTGACATTGTTCTTTGGGAAAGAAGTTTTAAGTTATGGAAGATTTGGAACTATGCATTGGCAGGCTGCAGGAAAGCAGGGTCTGGCCTAAGAGGTGCTTCTCCAAGGAGGGAGAAAAGGATATGGTAATATTTGGATGCATGACAATGAATGCATGTCCATGTGTGTGAATGGTGATAGAAAATGTAATTCTCCTTGGTTTGCTAGTTAGCCATGTAATTGTAAATCCAATGTAGTTGCATAGAATCTGTATGTCTGTATGTCTAATGGCATTCTTTGTCTAAATGTTTTTCTGCAATCTGAGCTACCCTCTCACACTGGAAATTGCAATCAAAAGAACCTATGCTTCAAAGTTATTGAAAAGTCATTCATGACATGTGCCCCTTTCAAAAGATGTCACCTCACTTTCTGTCCCTGGAAAATGTGGCTTGTTGTGGAAGCAAGGATTGGAGATACAGCTTCATTGGAGACCCCTTTTCCCCATGATAAGAACTCTTCCAGGAAGGATTTCCCTTTCAAGGGGGTCATTTCTCTCAATTCCTGTTGTCTCTTTCTTGTTCTTAACTATGGGTCATTTGTAAGCTGGATGTTTGTAATTCAAGGACTGCCTGTGTCTGCTTTGAAATGAATTAAATGGCTGTGTGGACTCATATGATCCAGTTCAAAGCTGGATGCAGATACTGGATTATATAGCAATTTAGATCCAGCCAGAGTCACTGAATCCTAGAGGTGGAGGAGACCCTGAGGACCATCCAGTCCCACCCCATTTTGCCAGGTAGGAAAAGCACATTTTGAGCCCTCCTGACAAGAGGCTGGATGGCCACTTGTCAGGAGTGCTTTGATTGTGCTTTTCCTGCCCGGCAGAAGTGGTTGGATTGGATGACCTTGGGGTCTCTCCCTAGGATTCCATGATTCCAAGTGGGATTTGTAGTTTACAGAGGAGGGATTTAGACCATAGAAGAGAAGCCAGGTAAAATGTCTTGTCCGCTTTTGCAGGGGTGCAGTGCTCCTAACCTTAACAAACATGGAGGGCTGGCTTGTACCCATTGCTTTTCAAGGCAGCACTCTCTCCCTGAGATTCCTCCTTCTAGAAAGAGAAGCCCAGCCCCCAAATCAGGTAAAATATGTGGCAGCAAAAAAAGCCAATGGGATTGTGGCCTGCATCAATAGGAGCCTAGTGTCTAGATCTAGGGAAGTCATGCTCCCCATGCTCTATTCCGCCTTGGTTAGACCACACCTGGAATATTGTGTCCAATTCTGGGCACCACAATTGAAGAGAGATATTGACAAGCTGGATGTGTCCAGAGGAGGGCGACTCAAATGATCAAGGGTCTGGAGAACAAGCCCTATGAGGAGCGGCTTAAGGAGCCAGGCATGTTTAGCCTGAAGAAGAGAAGGCTGAGAGGAGATATGATAGCCATGTATAAATATGTGAGAGGAAGCCACAGGGAGGAGGGAGCAAGCTTGTTTTCTGCTTCCCTGGAGACTAGGACACAATGAGACAGTGGCTTCAAACTACAAGAGAGACGATTCCATCTGAACATGAGGAAGAACTTCCTGACTGTGAGAGCCGTTCAGCAGTGGAACTCTCTGCCCCGGAGTGTGGTGAGGCTCCTTCTTTGGAAGCTTTTAAACAGAGGCTGGATGGCCATCTGTCAGGGGTGATTTGAATGCAATATTCCTGCTTCTTGGCAGAACGGGGTTGGACTGAATGGCCCATGAGGTCTCTTCCAACTCTAGGATTCTAGGATTCTATGATTCTATTCCTGGTTTCCTCACTTTCATAGGGCTCTTGTGCCGATGACCATTTTTCAAGGCAGCGCTCTCTCCCTGAGATTCCTCCCTCGAGCTCTGAAAAGCCCAGAAGAGAAGCTGGACCTCCCAAATATGAGGACAAGATGCCTTGAGCAACAAATAGCAGATCTACTTACCCATTTGGGGAGAGGGACTACTTTGGCAACCAGAAAGGTGACGTTTTCGCCGGCGTTTCGGTTGTAGAGGTCAGCGGCAAGATCTGCGGCCTCTTCGTAGGTCAGTTTAGCGACCACCACCGAAGCCACCCCGACCACAAGAAGCACCGTCCAGAAAGGGTTCCTCTCCATCTTTGGTCCTTCTGGACCCCTCTCTTCTGCGTCCTTTCTTTTATGCTCAGATGGAACCAGGGTTTCCTTGCTGGGGTTTTCCCCTTAGAAGCAATCATGGCAAATTCCTATGCAAATTGGGGAGACAACCTGGCATGGAAAGGAAGCAGAAATTGGGATTTTTTTTCAGAGTTGCTCAGGTGAGGAATTGGCACAAGGTGAGGAGGAAGCGGGTTCTGAACCAGGATCAGAGGATGAAAAAAACAATGTTCTCATCTGGCTTCATCTGGCTTTTGAAATTCATACAATGGTCTGGCCAGAAATCAAGGCAAATCAACATTGTGGAATTAATGAAGGTTGATACCCTTTCACTGCCAAGGTTCAATGCTACGGAGTACTGGGAGTTGTAGTTTCACCAAGGGTGTATCTGAATGCAGTGTGAAGGCTAAAGACCTGGCAACCCTACAGCTCCTAGGCTTCCAAAGCATTGAATCATTGCGTTTTTAAAAAAATTACTTTATTTATTTTATTTATTTACTGCCTTTGTATACTGCCTTTCTCAGCCAGAGGCGACTCAAGGCGGTTCACAGTCGGTGTGCTGGTACGGCTGTACCAAAAGCTCCAACTTCCTTTTCTTTCTTTGAGTGTTTGCATGTATTCCAAGGTTCCCTGCATTTTGCAATAAGGTGGCTTCCCTTGGTTTGCAATTATAGGGCCTATGACCCATCAATCATTGTTAAGTTTTGGTTCCGCCCCTTTCCCCAGGGCATTTTAGGTCAGTCTTGCATTGGAAAGCTTAGCTACAGGATATGGATTAGCTCCACCTGTAGAGAAGCTTCGTTCTTCACAGCATCTGGGGGAAAACAGTTCCAAAGGACTCCAGCTGGAGAATCTACAAAGCCTTGACTGGTAGGTCTACTCAGGACCCAAGAAGCAGTTTGGAGCCAGGAGTAGAGCCCACACCAGCAAAGTTTAGAAAGTAGATTGCCCAAGGAAGAGTTAAAAAAGGGGTTTCCTCTTAAAGAAAAGAAACAGTTCACGAAGCCAGTTGCCTGTCCCTTGTGGACAAGATTAAGAAAGCCACCAGTTGATTCAAAGCCTTGAAGCATTTGTTTAATTTGTTGAAGATCTAGGAAGTATTTGATTGTTTGTTGAATACAAGCAATAATAAAGGACTTTGTTAAACCTTTCAAGCTTCTAAAGACTCTGTATAGGAAAATCCTTAGGGCCTCTCCCTCGAGGCACCCCGGCTTCCCGCTGGGCACAAAGAGCACGTCCTGTTCAAAAGCCAACTGCTATAGGCCCAGCGCGTGACAGCATAGTCGGCAGCGATTCGATGCCATAACAAATATCAAAATACAGTTAAAACAATTATTAAAAAAATTCAACATTTAAAATCTATATAAATAAAATGTAATGTTTGTTTGTAGGATTAACATAACTCAAAAACCACTGGATGAATTGACACCAATTTTGGACACAAGACACCTCTCAGGCCAACAAGTGACCATCACTCATAAAAACACTGAAAAACACAGTGGAAAGGACTTAAAAAGCCAAATAATAAAAAATACATTACAACGCATGTGCAAAACCACATATATACACATATACACAAATATATACACACATATATATACACACAAAACATATATACACAGACTGAGCCACAGCAACGCATGGCAGGGGACGGCTAGTGTAATATAAAAAGCAAATATATCTGTAAAAACAAGATCCTCAGCTTCTCCTTACTAAAATCGTTGTCCAGTTGCATCATCAGTCATTCCATAGATTCATTTACGTCTAATTATGCTCCAGTAGAAAAAGCTTGCTCAAAGAGCCAGGTCTTGACTCTTTTCCGGAATGTTAAGAGGGAGGGAGCCAATCTTATATCTCTGGGGAGGGTGTTGCATAGCCAAGGGGCCACCACTGAGAAGGCTCCGTCTCTCATCCCTGCCAAACGCATCTGCGAGGAAGGCAGGATTGAGAGCAGGGCCTCCCCAGATGATCTTAAAGTTCTAGATGGTTCATAAGGAGAGATATGTTCTTAGGCTCCATGTTATGGGATCATGGGAGCTGTAGTTTGGTGATATGCAAGCACTCTTTGTGAGAGAAGGCTGAAGGCATTGTGAAACTACAACTCCCAGGGCTCAACAACATTAGAGCTCCTGGTGGCAGAGTGGGTTAAACCCTTGTGCCATCAGGACTGCTGACCATCCTTGCAGATGGCCATTTTTTTCACATCAGAAGTGACTTGCAGTTTCCTCAATTCGCTCCTGATAAAAAACAAAGCAAAACAAAACCAAAACAACAATAAGCCATGGCAGTCCAAGGGGTGTCAAACCGTATTGCTTCCATAGTGTAGATACACCCGTGGAATAATATATAGCAAAGTTATTTCCCCCCACTCATGACCCCTTTTTGCCTGATCAATGTGCAGCTTCAAGTAGCAACTGGAGCATTAGCGGCATGTAGTTACTAACAGATTCATGTAAATGCCGAAAACAGCCACTAGGTGGCAAACTACACTATTTATTTATTTACTATATTTGTAAACCCCCATTCTCAGCCCTCAGGTGACAATTCAATGCCCAAAACACCATAAAACATTTAGAAATATTACTATATAATATAAAACCATCACAAAAGCAATAAAACATAAATCATTTGCATCTCCTAATTAAAACGTCGTCCAATCTCATCATCCAGTCGTTCCATATTGCTGTGTCTATTACATTACATTTTCAAACACTTGCTCAAACAGTCAAGTCTTGAATGTTAAGAGGAGGCCGATTTAATGTCCCTAGGAAGGGTGTTCCATAGCCGAGGGCCCACCACTGAGAAGGCCCTGTCTCTCATCCCTGCCAAACGTAGTTGTGACGCTGGCGGGATCGAAAGTGGCTCCTTCCCAGACGATCTTAAAGTCCTAGCAGGTTCATAAAAGGAGATGCGTTCGGAGAGGTAAGTTGGGCCAGAACCATTTTTTGTGACCTCCAAATTGAGTTAAGGATTCTTGACAAGGGTAATGATCCACAGTTTGGAAAAGCTATGCTTTACAGCAGGCCTGTACAACATGCGCACCAGATTCATGTAAATGCCTAAAACAGCCACTAGGTGGCGAGCTACACAAGGACTCTGAGCATGAGAGAGGGACGTCACACGCAGCAGCGCTACAGCAGAGTAGCCACTGCAGTTACCAAACTCATCTGTGGCAAAGGGAGCACCAAGAATGATAACAACAACAACAGCAACACTTTATTTATATTCCATCCTTCTCACCCCGAAGGGGACTCAGGGCAGACCACAGTACATGTACACAGCAAACATTCAATGCCGCTTTGTATAGACAATAAACAGACAGACAGAACAGAAGGAGGTGCCATGGAAGGTTGGGCTCGAGACCAGGAGGTGTTGTTGCTCTGTCCAGCTTAGAGTCAACATCTCATAGAATCATAGAATCAAAGCGTTGGAAGAGACTTCATGGGCCATCCAGTCCAACCCCATTCTGCCAAGAAGCAGGAATATTGCATTCAAATCACCCCTGACAGATGGCCATCCAGCCTCTGTTTAAAAGCCTCCAAAGAAGGAGCCTCCACCACACTCCGGGGCAGAGAGTTCCACTGCTGAACGGCTCTCACAGTCAGGAAGTTCTTCCTCATGTTCAGATGGAATCTCCTCTCTTGTAGTTTGAAGCCATTGTTCCGCGTCCTAGTCTCCAAGGAAGCAGAAAACAAGCTTGCTCCCTCCTCCCTGTGGCTTCCTCTCACATATTTATACATGGCTATCATATCTCCTCTCAGCCTTCTCTTCTTCAGGCTAAACATGCCCAGCTCCTTAAGCCGCTCCTCATAGGGCTTGTTCTCCAGACCCTTGATCATTGTAGTCGCCCTCCTCTGGACACATTCCAGCTTGTCAATATCTCTCTTGAATTGTGGTGCCCAGAATTGGACACAATATTCCAGGTAAAGTGGTCTAACCAAAGCGGAATAGAGCATGGGGAGCATGACTTCCCTAGATCTAGACACTAGGCTCCTCTTGATGCAGGCCAAAATCCCATTGGCTTTTTTTGCCGCCACATCACATTGTTGGCTCATGTTTAACTTGTTGTCCACGAGGACTCCAAGATCTTTTTCACACGTACTGCTCTCGAGCCAGGCGTCCCCCATTCTGTCTCTTTGCATTTCATTTTTTCTGCCAAAGTGGAGTATCTTGCATTTGTCACTGTTGAATTTCATTTTGTTAGTTTTCTCCCTTCAGTTGTGGTGCCCAGAATGGGACACAATATCCCAGGTGTGGCCTGACCAAGGCAGAAGAGAGGGGCAAGGCATGCCTTACAATGACCAGATTCGTTGGCTGCAAGTTCAAGCTTGGAAACTATGAATCCCTCTGAGGATTCATAGCAACTGAGGATTGTATGGTGCAGTTGGCATGGTGGTGAGTCCCCCCTAGGGGGTTGAGAAGGGTGGGGTAGAAGGGTGGGGTAGAAATAAATAAACAAACAAACAAATAAATAAATAAATAGTTTTAAGTGTGCCAACATATATTTATTTCCATTTTCTTCTACCTTGCAAGGTGCCTGAGTCATAAGTAACAGGTGGACGAGAGCCACTGTTTGGGGGATATCATTGCCTATTCGTCCTGTCTGGAGTTAGAGTTGAATGTCTAGTGGTGCTCCAGGTTCAAATGCAGATATGTGCATGAAATCTATGCGACCCAAAACATATTCACAACCCATCCTCAAAAATGTAAACATGGGAACCAAGACTTAGAGCCAAATTAAGAATGTTACAACATTTGACTTGCCCCAGAGGTGGGTTTTTTTTTTGCAACAGGGAGTTTTGGGCATTGTTTGTGCAAGTTCCCCCCCCCCCCCCAAATACTATAATTTCCAAACAACTTCTTGAGTCGTGGGGAACACCATGCTTTTGCAATCGTCCATTGTCCAGAAATCACTGTGCTGCAACTCTTGATTCTCCACATATTTCGCAGCCGGGAGGAGATCCTCCCTCTCCTTTTTGGAA